AAATCTTTTAAGTTCTGCTGGACCCCATGTAGCTATTAAGTGTTTTAAATCTATTTTTGCTAGTACTACATTGTGATTACTGTTTGTGCATATATCCATTTTCTGTATTTCTGCATCATAGAGTCCATATGATAAATCTTCTGTTATTCATATTTGGTCGATTCTTGAATTTGAGTCCCTGCCTAACTAGAAGAATTTTTTGGTTTCTGGATTTATTGTTCTATATGTATCACAAAGCTTTTGTCTTGTTAACTACTTAAGAAGAGAATTTTGTTTTTCTGACTTTTATTTTGAATTATCTGATCTATCAAGTTTATTATTAACTACACTATTGAAGTCCTCTATTATTATTACCTGTGTTCTTTGTGATCATTTGATATACTTTTTGATTACTGCTCTTTAAATTTTTTTACATTCTTCCTTATTGTTAGGTGGCATATATATTATTATGATTAATATTTCTAAATGTTTGAATACAAAGTTAGCTATAATCATGTTTTTATTTGTTCTATCTATTTCTTCAAGATGTTTTTCCCAATGTTCATTAATAAGTATTCTACACCTGAGCTCTTTTTCTTTTCTGGATTTGAATTTGCCCAAAAACCCTTATATTCCTTCATATTTTTCGTAATAAAAAAACTTTCTTTGCTTAAAATATTTGTTTTTAATAACCCAATTATATCTATTTCATTATCAATTAGCCATTTATACAGCATTTCCATTTTTTGATTATTTCTCTTAAGGCCATTGATATTATGCGCTACTATATTTAAGTTGATTCCTTTTATGTTTTCATTTCTTTCTTTGGTCTTTTCTTTAATTTCTTCTAGGTGTAGTATGTTTTTTTGATTTGTAGTTTGTTTTTTCTTTTTTTGTATTAAAAAGACTTTTGTTTTTACACCCTTGTTCTTTGGTTCAACTGTAGCAAAAATTAGAAGCATTGTGGTCATCCTCTTTTGGTAAAAATTTTGGGTTGCACTTTTTGTGTTTCGAGTCTTTCAAGCCTAGTTAATATGTGTTGTAAAAGGTTTTGCATTTGTGTTTGATTTTCTGTATTTACATCTTTTCTGTTCCTTTTTTCTATTTTTATATTTTTTGTTTTCTTAAGAATCTATACTTTCATAATCTTCTGAATCAGTGTCTTGACTAGATTCGTTTATATCTTCTTTTCTTCTGTTTTTTAAACTTTCTCTCTTTTTTGTTTCTTTCTTTTCATCTATTACCCAATAAACTCTGAAATTGTTGTATCTGATTGGTTTGGTTTGGGCTGAGTTTATTTCCTCTTTCATTGCAAAAGTGATTGTTGCTGTTCTTCTTTGGTTTCCATTTCTGTTTGATGGAATATAAACAGACTTTGCACCCTTGCTTTTTAAACATCATAGAAAAGTACTTCTGATGCACTTCCAGAAAGTTTTGTTAACTTTGCTATAAATTGGCTTTGGTGATTTCTTTTTTCGTAATTTTTATCCTCTTTCATTACTCTTACTAGTTTATTATCATCTATTGGTAATGACCAAGGTATGTCTTTATCTTTATATTTATCTGTTTTGATTACTGCCAATGCTTTGTACTTTGATCTTTTGATTTTAACTATGTTGGCCTTTTTGATTTTTCTGCAAATAAAATCTAATTCTGTTCTATTTATATTTGCTAGTAGGTTCCAAATAGTTAGATAGTTGGCATAAGTTTCTTCTAGTTCTTTTTTAACAAGAAGATTTTCATCTTCATCTTTTTCCTCATATAATTTATGTTCGAGTTGTTTTTCTTTAACATTTGGTTGCTTAACTTAGGGTTTTTTTTTGTTGTTATTTTTTGTCTCCTTTGGAATGAGCTTAAGCCATTCTCCTTCTTTCTTACTAATTCTTTCAATTGCTTCATCTCTACTGTACTCACAATCAAAGTCAACTTCGATTCAATTATTTCCCTTTTTAAAAGCTTTTTTGATTGTTCTTATATGTTTGTTTTCTCCTAGAATCCATTAAACATATTTGATTCTTTCTTCTTTTGTTTCTCTAGAAAGTATATAGGTAGGGAAGTCGCTCTTGAAGAACTTGTTTGCTGTACATGTTCTGTATCTAGGAGACCAATCACTATGTTCTATTGAGGCTGAAGATGAGGAGAAAGAGGAGAAGGAAGAAAAGATAGGTAATGATATAAGGTTTTCTAACTCTATTTGTTTAGTTTCTGTTGGTTTTACTAGTACATTTTTATTGATCTTTTCTTTTTCAACTTTCATTCTTGTTTCTGTAAAGTAGTATGTATCTGCTTCTTGATATTGCTGTTCTATATTAAGTTTTTTAATTTGACTTGTTATGACTTCAACATCTGTACTCAATTTTGTTTTATTATTGATTGCTTGACATCTTTTCTTTGAGAATATATTATTGTCGAGATTTTTCTTTTCATTTTGATTTTTTTCTACTCCTTCCATTTTTCTTTCTTCTTTTTGTATTTCTTTCTTGCTTATACCTACTGTATATTCAACTGATACTAGGTTAAGATTAGCCATTCTTATTTTGTTGGCCCAATCTTTAATAAACTTTTTCAGTAAAGTTATCATTACTTCT